AGAAGGTCATTGGTAGCTTGATGGGGATAGTGTTGAATCTATAAATTACTTTGGACAGTATGGCCATTTTCACAATACTGATTCTTCCTAACTATAAGCATGGAATGTTTTCCCATCTGTGTGTCCTCTCTTATTTCCTTGAGCAGTGGTTTGTAGTTCTCCTTGAAGAGGTCCTTTATATCCTTTGTTAGTTGTATTCTTAGGTATTTTATTTGCTTTGTAGCAATTATGAATGGGAGTTTGCTCTTGATTTGGCTCTCAGTTTGTTATTGGTGTATAGAAATGCTTGTGATTTCAGCACATTGATTTTATATCCTGAGGCTTTGCTGAAGTTGCTTATCAGTTTAAGGAGATTTTGGGCTGAGATGATAGGGTCTTCTAAATGTACAGTCATGTCATCTGCAAATAGAGACAATTTGACTTCCTCTTTTCCTATTGAAAACTCGTTTCTTGCCTAATTGCTCTGGCTAGAACTTCCAATACTATATTGAATAGGAGTGGTGAGAGAGGACGTCCTTGTCTAGTGCCAGATTTGAAAGGGAATGCTTCCAGTTTTTGCACATTCAGTATGATATTGGCTGTAGGTTTGTTGTAAATAGCTTTTATTGTTTTGAGATATGTTACTTCGATACCTAGTTTATTGAGAGTTTTTAGCATAAAGGGCTGTTGAATTTTGTCGAAGGCCTTCTCTGCATCTATTGAGATAATCATGTGCTTTTTTTCTCTGGTTTTGTTTATGTGGTGGATTACATTTATAGACTTGCATATGTTGAACCAGCCTTGCATCCCCGGAATGAAGCCTACTTGATTGTGATGCATAAGCTTTTTGATGTGTTGTTGCAATCGGTTTGCCAGTATTTTATTGAAGATTTTTACATCTATGTTCATCTTGGATAATGGCCTGAAGTTTTCTTTTTTGTTGAGTCTCTGCCAGGTTTTGGTATCCAGATGATGTTCGTCTCATAAAATGATTTGGGAAAGAGTCCCTCTTTTTGTATTGTTTGGAATAGTTTCAGAAGGAGTGGTACCAGCTCCTCTTTGTACGTCTGTTAGAATCAGTCTGGACCTGGACTTTTTTTGGTTGGTAGAGCTATTAATTGCTGCCTCAACTTCAGCCCTTGTTATTGGTCTATTCAAGGTTTCAGCTTCTTCCTGGTTTAGGCTTGGGAGGGTGCAAGTGTCCAGGAATTTATCCATTTCTTCCAGGTTTACTGGTTTATGTGCATAGAGTTGTCTGTAGTAATCTCTGATGGTAGTTTGTATTTCTGTGGAATCAGTGGTGATCTCCCCTTTATCGTTTTTTATTGCATCTATTTGATTCTTCTCCTTTTTCTTTTTTATTTATCTGGCTAGCAGTCTATTTTGTTGATCCTTTCAGAAAACCAGCTCCTGGATTTATTGAATTTTTGAAGGGTTTTTTGTGTCTCTATCTCCTTCAGTTCTGCTCTGATCTTAGTTATTTCTTGTCTTCTGCTAGGTTTTGAGTTTTCTTGATCTTGCTCCTCTAGCTTTTTCAATTTTGACGATAGGGTGTCAATTTTAGATCTTTCCTCGCTTCTCATGTGGGCATTTATTGCTATACATTTCCCTCTAGACACTGCTTTAAATGTGTCCCAGAGATTATGGTACGTTGTGTCTTTGCTCTCGTTGGTTTTAAAGAACATCTTTATTTCTGCCTTCATTTCATTGTTTATCCAGTTGACATTCAGGAGCTAGTTGTTCAGTTTCCATGAAGCTGTGTGGTTCTAAATTAGTTTCTTAATTCTGAGTTCTAATTTGATTGCCCTGTGGTCTGAGAAATTGTTTGTTATGATTTCCATTCTTTTGCATTTACTGAGGAATTATTTACTTCCAAGTATGTGGTCAATATTAGTGTAGGTGCAATGTGGTGCTGAGAAGAATGTATATTCTGTGGATTTGGGGTGGGATTTCTGTAGATGTCTGTTAGGTCTGCTTGGTCCAGATCTGAGTTCAAGTCCTGGATATCCTTGTTAATTTTCTGTCTCATTGATCTGTCTTATATTGACAGTGGAGTATTAAAGCCTCCCACTATTATTGTGTAGGAGTCTAAGTCTCTTTGTAGGTCATTAAGAACTTGGTTTATGTTCCTTGGTGCTCCCTGTATTGGGTGCTTATATATTTAGGATCATTAGCTCTTCTTGATGCATTGATCCTTTTACCATTATGTAAAAGCCTTCTCTGTCTCTTTTGATCTTTGTTGGTTTAAAGTCCATTTTATCAGAAATAAGGATTGCAATTCCTGCTTTTTTTTGCTCTCCGTTTGCTTGATGAATCTTCCTCCATCCCTTTGTTTTAAGCCTATGTGTGTCTTTGAGCATGAGATTGGTTTCCTGAATACAGCACACTGGTGGGTCTTGACTGTTTATCCAATTTGCCAGTCTGTGTCTTTTGACTGGGGCATGTAGCCCATTTACATTTAAGGTTAATATTGTTATGTGAATTTGATCCTGCCATTTTGATGCTAGCTGGATGTTTTGCCTGTTAGTTGACGCGTGTTTTTCATTGTGTTGATGGTCTTTACCATTTGGTATGTTTTTGGAGTGGCTGGTACTGGTTGTTCCTTTCCTTGTTTAGTGCTTCTTTCAGGATCTCTTGTAGGGCAGGCCTGGTGATGATGAAATCTCTCAGCAATTGCTTTTCCATAAAGGATTTTCTTTCTCCTTCGCCTATGAAGCTTAGTTTGGCTGGATATGAAATTCTAGGTTAAAAGTTCTTTTTCTTTGAGGATGTTGAATATTTGCCCCCACTCTCTTCTGGCTTGTAGGGTTTCTGTGGAGATATCCACTGTGAGTCTGATGGGCTTCCCTTTGTGAGTAACCCAACCTTTCTCTCTGGATGCTTTTAGCATTTTCTCCTTCATTTCAACCCTGCTGAATCTGATGATTATGTGCCTTGGGGTTGCTCTTCTTGAGGAATATCTTTGTGGTGTTCTGTGTATTTCCTGGACTTGAATGGTGGCCTGGCATGCTAGGTTGGGGAAGTTCTCCTGGATAATATCCTGAAGAGTGTTTTCCAACTTGGATTCATTCTCTCCATCACATTCAGGTACACCTATCAAACGTAGATTAGGTCTTTTCACATAATCCCATATTTCTTGAAGGCTTTGTTCATTTCTTTTCACTCTTTTTTCTCTATTCTTGCCTTCTCGTTTTATTTCATTGAGTTGATCTTCAGTCTCTGATATCCTTTCTTCTGCTTGGTCAGTTCGGCTGTTGAAACTTGTGTATGCTTCACAAAGTTCTCATGCTGTGTTTTTCATCTCCATCAAGTTGTTTATGTTGTTCTCTAAGTTGTTTATTCTAGTTAGCATCTCATCTAACCTTTTTTCTAGGTTCTTAATTTCTTTGCATTGTGTTAGCACATGTTCTTTTAGCTCTGAGAAGTTTGTTATTACCCACTTTCTGAAGCCTGTTTCTGTCAATTCTTCAGCTTCATTTTCCATCCATCTTTGATCCCTAGCTGGTGAGGAGTTGTGATCCTTTGGAGGAGGAAAGGCATTCTGGTTGTTGGTGTTTTCATCCTTTTTTGCGCTGGTTTCTTCCCATCTATGTGGCTTTATCCACCTGTGGTCTTTGTAGTTGGTGACTTTCAGATGGGGTCTCTGAGTGGACTTCCTTTTTATTGATGATGAAGTTATTTCTTTTTGTTTCTTAGTTTTCCTTGTAACAGTCAGGCCCCTCTGCTGCAGGAATGCTGTAGGTCCACCTCAGACCCTGCTTGCCTGTGGATCACCCATGGGGGCTGCAGAACAGTAAGGGTTACTGCCGGTTTCTTCTTCTGTTATCTTTGTCCCAGAAGGGTACCTGTCAGATGTTGACCTGAGCTCTCCTTTATGAGGTGTCTCTTTGGGTATATGGGTGTCAGGCAATTGCTTGAGGAGACAGTCTGTCCCTTATAGAAGCTCAAGTGCTGTGCTAGGAGCTCCGTTGTTCCATGCAGAGCTGCTGGGAGGCAATTTTTAGTCTGCTGCAGCGGAACTCATAACTGCCTCTTTTCCCAGGTGCTCTGTCCTAGGAAGAGCTTTATTTATAAGTTCCTGTTGTGCTGCTGCCTTTTTTCATAGATGCCCTGCCCCGCATGGAGTAGTCTAGTCACAGTCTGCCAGCAGAGGTGTTGCTGAGCTGCCACAGGCTCTGCTCAGCTGCTGTGTGAACTGCCTTGGCAGTGGTGGACTACCTCGGTAGTGGGGGTTGCCCTTCCCCCACCCCCACTGAATTGGACTGTCCTGGGTCTAGCTTGGCTTGCTGCGAAACTCTCAATCCAGAGCATTTCAGATTGCTTGTTTCGTGGGGGTGGTACCTGCTGAGCCAGATCGCCTGGCTCCCTGTCTCAGCCCCCTCTCTTTCAGTTGAATGGGCAGCTCTGGTGCCAGTTGAAACAGCTGCCCAGATTTGTGTGAGTTTCTGTGCACCAACCCGGTACCGGCTGAAACTGCCATGCTGAAAACTCATGGTGCTTTTCGGCCCTGGAATCTCCTGGTCTGTGGGCAGTGAAAATTTGTTTGGAAATGTGGTGGGCACTCACCCTCCACGTTTTTTTTTGCTGGGAACTGCACTCCGGAGCTGTTCCTATTCGGCCATCTTGGAACCTCCAATTTCTACTTTTTTAAGGAGACTGCAGTTAGTTCTACAGCTTCTGTTAATAGCAAAGCAATGTAAAGGCACCTATCACCCTGTGCTGCTGTTTCTTCACCTGTAAATTAAAGATAATTTTGCAGATTCCTACAATTTGAGGTTACTATGATAACTAAATGAGATAATACATGGAAGGCACTTAAAAACCAAACCTAGCTTATGGAAAGCTCTCAATCATTGCCAGCTATTGTTAGTATTATAGTGTTATTCCTGTACTGTTATTGGGAAAAATTAAAGGGCTCTGTAGCCACAACATGCGATTGATTCATCCTGGATTGGGTAAGCCCTATCCTGAGGTTCAGTTTCATGGCTAGCAACTTGACTGCCCTTCTTTTGCTCTTTCAGCTGCGCAGTTGGACAGCATTGGTTTCAGCATAATCAGGAAATGCATCCATGCTGTGGAAACCAGAGGTAAAGTAGTTTAACAGATGGCATTGTTGTCGTGGAAGGTCATGCATCTGGTGAGGAGTCAGACCTGCTACCTGCTGTTTCCTGACTTTAAGTGACTCATTAGCTCCCCAAGTGCCATTGTCAGTAGATTTCCACAAGTCCTGTTGGTCTCAAGCAGGAGGTTCTTACTGATTTTGCGTCACCAACTTTTGGCTGATCAGAAGAATGTTTTAAGTATCTGAAATATGTATGATTATAGAAGCCAGTTACTGAAATTCAATTTTTAAAATATTAAAAATACAGGGTGTCATGATACATGTGTTTCTTTGTTAATACTTTATAAGTGATAGTAATGGGTCTGAAAACCAACATAATTTGGGAGCAGTGATATTTCACGAGATCCAGAACAATTGTAATGAGTTATGAAAATATCTGTGATTTCCGACCAAGTTGCAGGTACCACTAATGCTCCTGTGATTTTTTGCTTACATCCATCATGGAAGGAAAAGCTTAATGTCAGTTATACGTTAGTGAAGATAAAAATGTATTTGTTTTCCTGTCTAAGTTCACAGACACCCTGAATTTTCTCTGGCAGACATCTTGCGGTCTGTGAACCTAAGGTGCTCTGGGGAGCTAGTCCCTGGGGACCACCCAGGTAGAGAGAAGGGATTAGGCCCATGTTGTACACTGACCTTTCCCAGGTCTGTAGGAGCAGGACATTAAGCTCAAGGAAGCTGGTTCATCCTGATGGTCTCCATCCCTTCTTCAGAGACTGCCACAAAGGAGAGTCCTCAGTCCCAGCAGTTTGGAGCCTGGAGTGTGCTGGTCTATCTCACCCCTTAGAAAAGCTGTTAACCATCTTTCCACTGGATTTCAGTTGAACCATTGTCAGAGATGTGAATCTTATTTACTCTATAGCCTCTCAGCCTACCACCCCTTTTTAAGTAGTTGAAAGAAATTCCCTTTTAAAGCAAGGTTTGTAACTCTTAGCAGTCGAGACATATACACTTTAAAAAAATTAATAAGGACTGTGAAGCATTAAGTAGAGGGAAGAGAGAGTTGAGACATACACACTTTAAAAGACATATACACTTAAAAAAATAAGAACTGTGAAGCATTAAGTAGAGGGGAGAGATAGAATTTTAAAACCTGCCCTTATATATACTGTCAAAAGATATTCTTTCCAAAACAGTTGTAATGTGTGGAAACGTTTTTAAAAATGTTCGGTTATTTCTGCTGTACCTCCCTTAAAGAGTTAAGGCAGCTCTTAAGGTATGTAAGATATATCTAGAGAACATAAAGTGGAAGTAGGTGACATTTCTGGGAATTGGTCTTGAGGAAATAAGGATATGGAGCAGATTGAGCCATAAGGATGTTTACACAGTGGTGGTGTTAAGGTACAAACTCAGAAACTGGCCAAATGCCTCAAAAATGGGTTAAATCAACCATGGTACATCTGTGTAATAAAAAACTATGAATCACTAACAATGCAATGGAAATACAGTTTTTGACATATGGCATTTAAAAAATTATTTATATTATGTAAAAAATGCAAGTTACAAAGCAGCTGCTCAGTATGAGCCCATTCTGGGAGCAGTGGGGAGAGGAGCGTTCATATTGCACAGGTTTCATTGTGTTCTCAGTGGCTCTCCGCTGATTTTTACTGTTTCCTTTTGAGTCATCTATTTACCTTAACTGTAGTTTCTAAGTCTTTTTGAAGTTTTTGTTAGTAAGGTAAATTTTTCTTTTTTCTTTCTTTGAGATGGAGTCTTGCTCTCTTGCCCAGGATGGAGTGCAGTGGTGCAATCCACAGTCACTGCAACCTTGGCCTCCCGGGTTCAAGCGATTCTCCTACCTCAGCCTCTGGAGTAGCTGGGATTTCAGGTGTCCACCACCACACCCAGCTAATTTTTGTACTTTGAGTAGAGACAGGGTTTCACCATGTTGTCCAGGCTGATCTTGAACTCCTGACCTCAAGTGATCTGCCCACTTCGTCCTTCCAAAGCACTGGGATTACAGGCATGAGCCACTGCATGCAGCCTAATTTTTCAACAGGAGTTTTAATTTACCTTTTTTTTCAATTGAAAAACAAAGACTGGAATTAAAAGGTACAGGGTTTAAAGGTAGAGGCGCAAAATGGAGCCAAAAGCAAGTCCAAAATAAAAATCTCTCCCTGATGAAGTTCATATACTTGCTTGAGCTGGGCCAACTGTTTGTGTCTCAGTTTTCCGCAGCCAAAATCAAAAGGGAAACCTAGTCATTTAAAATTGTACATAAAGTCTGTGGTAAGTGCAGACCAGTAGCTCACAAGGACAACTTTTTCTCATGTAAAACTACAAAATATATACAATAAGTAGGAGAAAAGGTGCACGAGTTCCTTTTCCCCCCTCTAAAATGAAAATGGAAATAATGTGTTTTAACTTCTAAGAAAGTCTTCATTGAGCACAAAGAAGAAATAAGGACAGTATGAGTTAGGTGCCATTTTAGCATAAATAGTTGAAGAAAGTGGCTATCTCCCTATTGCAGTGTGTGTATGTGCGTACATATTTATGGTGACCAGAAATGAACAGACTTCCCATACTCTCTGGGATTTGTCCACAGTTGTCCAGTGGGAGGTGATATTGTGTAAAGTCCCAGGAAAGCACAAGGATAGAAGTAGAGATACCTCAGACCTTTCAAGCCCACAAGCTGACATGTTATTTTCTGTCACTGAGTAACCTGGGACCCATCATTTAGTTTTTGACCAGGGGCTCCTAGTCCATGAATCATGCAGAATGATGTACATGGTTTTACAGGTCCTTTTTAGCTGTAAAATCCTATCGTTCCAGACTACTTCTTTTTATTCATTAGTTCCACATCTACATAGGTCTTGCTGAAAGTACTACGGAACTGGTCCTTTCCCAAATTTCTTCTGGAAGATTGTATTTTGGCCCCCAAGTGTTTTGTACTGGCCTTGATGGAATATAAACTTAATGTTTTCTTTATTATTGTGTACCATATACTGATCCAGGGGCTGAGAATATAATGGTGAACAGGACACAATTACTGTTTACATTCTATTGTGGGGAGAAAAACAAACAAGGAAGCAAATAAAAAAGATAATTTCAGATATCGTTAACCGCTATAAAGAAAGAAGACAGGTTAAGGGCATGACCAGCAGTGTTGATTGTGGGATGCATTAGATTGAAGCAGTTGCATTTAAGCTGAGACCTGAATGATGAAAAACTGTGGCAGAAGAGCAGTTCAGGTGGAGGAAACAGCTGGAGCAAAGGCTATGAGGTGGGGCCATAAGCTTGGCATGTTGGGGTGACAGGAAGGCCAGTATGTGGAGCAGAATGCATGTGGTTGATGATGCAATCAGAGGTTGTCAGTGCTCAATAGTATAGGCCTGATAGGCCATTTTAAGTCGTTTTGATTATGGTCTAAATGCATTGGGAAGCTATTGGAGAGTTTTAAGAGAAGAGATGGTATAAACTAATTTACACTTTAGACAGTTTGCTTTGGCTGCTGGTTGGAGAATGGACATCAGAGGAATAAAATAGGAAGCCGGAGTTCTGTTACTTGAGAGGGGTCAGATATGATAGGCCTAGGACTAACAGGAGAAAAATCATTTCACGTCACCTGGTCAAAATGGCCTTCTTTTGTAACTGGTACAGTGATGATCTAATCCATGTATTTCAATGAACAGAAACACTGCAGCGGATTGGTTTTTGATTATTATTGAGATGTTTAATTTAAAAGTAAACCCTTACTCGTCTAATTGTACAGTTCCTTGGGTTGAATGAAATAAAGGTGGTATTTTTTTTGATAAAGAATATTTATATTATAAATGAATGGATCTTCTAATTTCTCAGTCTTGGCTAACATTCTGTAAAGTTAAAAATGTTCATACACCTCAATATTTTCATTTTATATGTAAAAATAGATTATAAAGTATCTTTTTCTGTTGTATGAATTTTTAATCATCCATTTTTGGCATTTTAATTTTAAAAATTGGTTAAATATGACATATTTAAAAGTACACATTTTGCATCTTTTAGAACTCTTCAGATGCTGCCTTTGGCAAGAGAAAAGGAAAGTTTCTTTTGCCTCTGACAACTGAACTAACATGAGGGCTGAAGTGTGCAGCACATCCGTGAAATCCTAGACAGCTGTACCAAATCCCACTCCTTTGCTAAGAGCTGAGCTGAATGACAGGGGACTTTAATTAGAGCAGCTTTTAGAAGGACTGAGAAAATGAAAAAAAAGAAGTGCATTTGGCTGGATTGGCCTGACTTGTGTTCTGACGTGCTTCTAATTAAATCATCACTGTTTCTTTCCTCAGGAATCAACGAGCAAGGGCTGTACCGAATTGTGGGGGTCAACTCCAGAGTGCAGAAGTTGCTGAGTGTCCTGATGGGTAAGTGCGGCAGTGGCTCTGCCAGGCAGGTCTCTGGGTGGGGGGCTCACTCTGTAAAGTCACCAGGTCTGTGAGTAGATACAGCCTGTGGCAAAGGAATCGGGGTGTCCACAAGCTGTCACCAGAAATCAGCTGCCCCATTGGTCAGATGTCATGGCTTCAGGCACTGCTGTGAAAGGTTCTGGTTAGGACTGGACAAAATAAAAAATCCCAGGGCCCAGACACCACACCCTCTGTGTCTGCAGGCTCAGAGCTGCTGGCCCAAGTAGTAATCGCTCACTCATGTGACCGCCACACCCTACTCTCTTTAATAGCTCATGACTCCCTCCGTTCTCTTTTGGGGCAGGTATTTAGTGGGACACACCCAATGCTCAAGGAAAGGCATCATTCTAGGCTCCAGAGGACCTCAGAGTTCATGTTCCTGATACTGAGCAGGTGTCATGTAACTCTCAGATAAAATGTTTATAAGCAGATCAATCTTCTGATCCTTTTTGCTTCTAGATTTCAACTGAATACCTGTCACTTGAGCAGTGGAACTTCCTTTGCCGCTAGCTGATATAAATATACAACCACTGTCTCCAAATGTGCAGTGTTTGAATCAAAAGCCCATGAGTCTATGAGCCAAATTTGCTTAGGCTGCGGATTTCCTGTATTTTTAGATATGAGTGCAGCCAGCCTCCGTGAGTCACATGGATCTAAATGGCAAACAGATCCGATTTCACAGAGGCTGTTATTCCTCCCCATGAAAGCCCTAGCTTGTAGAGATGGACTATCACTTGGGGTACCCAGCTCAGTGTTTTGGACAAGAACAGTTCTTGTGTTAGTATTTGTAATTTCTTTTGCCATCCCACTTTCTGAAAATAGCTTTCTTATGTAAAGAAATCTCTTCTCTCACATTGACCAGAATGACTGTCTTCACCTCTTTTTGAGAGAGTCATTCACCCCTTGTAGCCAAAACCCTATTGTATTACTAATTAGAGTGAGATCTGTTGTTTGGAACTGTGATTATTTGCGAGGTGCTTTAGCACTGAGGTCTGAGTGCTTTTGGTTAAGATTTGAAATATGGTTAGTTTTTGTAAAAATTAAACCTTTCATTTTGAGATAATTATAGATTTATAGGCAGTTGTAAGAAACAATATAGAGATCCTGTGTACCACTTATCCAGTATCCTCTAAAGGTAACGTCTTTAAAAACACAATTTTAGTATCACAATCAAAATATTGACATTGATATAGTCAAGGTGCAGAACATTTTCATCACTGAAAGGATTCCTTGGGATGTTGTACAAACACACACCTCACTTCCCACCCTGTACCTTGTCTCCAACCCCTGGCAATCAGTAATCTGTTCTCTATTTCTATAATTTTGTCATTTCAAGATTATTATTTAAATGGAATTATACAATATGGAGCCTTTTGGTATTGGCATTGTTTTTCAGTCAGTATAATTTCCTCAAGATTTATTTTTGTTGTTCCATATTTTAGTAGTTCCTTTTTATTGCTGCATAGTGTTTCAGTGTATGGTTGTACCACACTTTATTGAACAATTCATTTATTGAAGGACATCTAAGTTGTTTCCAGTTTGGGGCAGTTATGATAAAACTGCTATAAATGTTCAGGTACAGTTTCTGTGTGAGCATATATCTCCTCCTCTGGGATAAATATCCAAGTGTGTAATTGCTGGATTGTATGATGATATGGTTAAATTTGAGAAATTCTAATATAAGGAAGAATTAAGAGTCTAATAGGTGTCAGTCCTTAGTTTTTATTTCTGACCAGAGCTGTAAACATTTGTGGAGTGTCTGCTGCCTGTACCAGATGTCAGGTGCTAGAGATTAAACTTTAGAAAGAGCTGTTTCTTTTCTGCAAGGAGAGATATGTGTGTATATGAAAGCTGTAATGTAACGTATGATATTCGTGCTTAATATGTGCTGGGTCTAGAAGACTTAGTATAGTGAAGGAGAGAATAGAATAATTCCAATTCAGGAAGTATTCTGAACAAAGGACCTGGTGGCTATGGCAAAGGTTAATGATTCTAAGATTATCATTATTTTAATATTTTTGAAAGATCTGCTTGAAGCTGGGACAGGAGAGTTAAAGCTGAATAGCTGAGGTGGTCTCTTTTGTTGAGGAACTTGAATATTGAGCTAAGGTGTTTGGGTTTTTCTATAGGAAGTAAGAAACTATTAAAAGTGCTAAGTAGTGGGATTACATGCATTATGATGCATTTGGCGCACAAAAGTGTCGAAGACAATTCAGAATACAAGGGAAAAAAGGCATTTATTTGCTCACATAACTGGTAAATGCAAGACAGAAGCTTGGCAGGGTCAGGGATGCCAATGATGTCTTTCTTTTGCTAGATCCTTTGCCCCTTCCTCCTTCTGGCTTCTCATGATCTTTGACCTCTGCTGGGCTTGGTGTGGCTTTGTTCTCTGTGGGAGTGTCCCAGACAGGTTCAGCCTCTGCAGTCCTTGAAGCCTGTGGTCACTGAGTAGAGACTGCCTTTCTTGACCGTGTTGGCAGGAGGCTCCAGCGAGGACTTTGCTTGGCCAGTATGGGGCCATTCACATGATTCATTTCTCAATCTCAGACCAGTCACATGGCCCACTGCAGATGGCCTGGATCCTGTGCCTGTCTCAGGGGATGTGGGGGTTGGGGTGTGGATGGGGTTAGTCCCTGGAACCCAGTGGACTGAGCAGGATTATTAATAGGATGATGGAGGAGTGCGTTCCTGAAATAATGGCTGCTGGTAGCTTTTTAAAAGAAAGTATGTCTAACACAGGCCTAATAATAACAGATTCTAGCACTAGGAGCATAATCTTGGCTACAGTATGGAGCATGTGTATAATTGTGGAAGGACATAGAAGAGGAAGATGGTTACAATAGATTAGATAAGGCAAATCCTGTCAACGACTGAACCAAATAGGTGCTCTGAAGTCAGGAAAAAAGGACAGAATCCCTTTGTAGAGAGAGAATCTACAGGACTTTTAACCAACTGATATGCGGGAACAGAAGGGGCAGAGAGATTTCAAAAGTGACAGATTATTATGTAAGATGACACTAATGAAAAATGACATTTTAGACTGCTTTGCTAATCTAAAAAAGAATCACTTTAGCTCAGTTGTGTTAAGCAAAAGAGTGGTTATGAAAGGATCTTGTTTTTATCACTTTTCTTAGTGGCCTTCACACAAGATATTTGTCTTGTTCTCTTCCTTGGTTTTCCTGGGGATAGAGAAAATAATCATGAACATTTGAGAAATGTCACAAAAAAGTAATAACTAGCAGCTGAAAGTCATGAGGGTGGCTGCCTCTGCCAGGAGGACATTACAGATAGACTGGAATCTAATCTGAGATCCAACCAGAGCTGTGAGATGACCACAGTGCAGCATCTAATTGAAAGCTGAGGATTGTATCCATGATTCCCCCACACCAGTTAAGTAAGTCTGAATCTCTCAATTACAGAGTCACCAGGTCTCCAGACCTGAAGGGGGGGCTACATCTTCTCTTCTGTGAGCGTGGTCTCAATCAGTTCTTGGTACCGGTAGTGTCTTGGCTAGCCAAGAGCATAAAATAAACATGGCACCTGTCCTCCAAAACCTTCCCTGAGATGGCTGGACTGAGTGAACCTTTCATTAAGTATTGTTTTATTATACATTCATTGAATGCTTATTATGTGCCAGGTACTGTGTAAGATTTGGTTTGTCTGTCCAAGTCTCTCAAAAGTGGAGTAGTAAGCTGGGCGCGGTGGCTCACGCTTGTAATCCCACCACATTGGGAGGCTGAGGTGGGTGGATCATGAGGTCAAGAGTTTGAGACCAGCCTGGCCAACACAGTGAAACCCCATCTCTACTAAAAATACAAAAATTAGCTGGGTGTGGTGGCGGGCACCTGTAATCCCAGCTACTAGGGAGACTGAGGCAGGAGAATTGCGTGAACCGGGGAGACAGAGATTGCAGTGAGCTGAGATCGCGCCACTGCACTCCAGCCTGGCCAACAGAGCTAGACTCCATCTCAAAAAAAAAAAAGTGGAGTAGTATGTTTTGGTTATTCAAAGTATGGCTGGCTGAGCGCAACAGCGCACTCCTACAATCCCAGCAGTTTGGGAAGCTGAGGCAGGTGGATCACCTGGGGTCAGGAGGTCGAGAGCAGCCTGGCTAACCAGGTGAAACCCCATCTCTACTAAAAAATTAGGCTGGGTGTGTTGGCCATACCTGTAATCTCAGCACTTTGGGAGGCTGAGGTGGGTAGACCACCTGAGGTCAGGAGTTTGAGACCAGCCTGCCCAACATGGTGAAACCCCATCTCTACTAAAAATACAAAAAATTAGTTGGGTGTGGTGGCACATGCCTGTAATCCCAGCTACTCAGGAGGCTGAGGCAGGAGAACTGGTTGAACCTGGGAGGTGGAGGTTGCAGTGAGCTGGGACTGCACCATTGTACTCTAGCCTAGGCAACAAGAATGAAACTTTATCTCAAAGAAAAAAAAATACAAATATTAGCCAGGTGTGGTGGTGTGTGCCTGCAGCCCCTCTACTCAGGAGGTTGAGGCTGGAGAATCCCTTGAACCCTGGAGGCAGAGGTTGTAATGAGCCAAGATTGTGCCACTGCACTCCAGCCTGGATGACAGAGCAAGACTTTGTCTCAAAAAAAAAAAAAAAAAAGTGTGGTTGAGGATTAAAACCAGAGACTTTTTCGGATTATTTGGAGTTTATTTTTGGTACTCTTAATACATTGGAGGACTTTGGGTTGGAAGAGGAATATAAGAGCCAGTGCTTTGGGAATGTCTTCTTTTTACTGATCCTGATTCCTTAAGAAAGCTTGCTAAAATTCCTCAAAGCAAGCGCAGTGTGGCTTTGTGCTCGTGTCCTACCACGAGCTACCCTTGATCCCTTCCTCCTAGTAACAGAAGTCAATAGTCTTTGGAGAGTGAAATGGACTCTCAAAGAGTTGCAGATTCCTAGAAATAGAATACCTTCTGTGTGCCTGGGGTTTTACCCCCTGA